TAAGGAGGTGGTGAGTAGTAGTCATATCCTGGATAGATTCTGAAGTAATAGTCAAATGGAGTGGAGGTAAGTGTGAGAGAAAGAGAAGAGTCAAGGATAACATATTAGTTTGACAGGTCTGCTGTAACCAAGTGCCGCAAATGGGACTTAAACCACAGAAAGTTGTTGTCTAGCAGTTCTGGAGGTACCAAGATCAAGGTGTCAGCAGGGCTGGTTCCTTCTGAAGTTGGCTCCTTCAGTGTGAGGGAAAGATAATGTTCAGGCCTCTCTCCTCAATTTATGGGTGGCCATCTTCATGATCACATGGTGCTCTCTTATATGCATCTGGGTTCAAATTTCCCCTTTTTATTAAGGACATCAATCATATTGGATTAAGGCCTACCATAATGAACTCATCTTAACTAATTATATCTGCAGTGACCCTGTTTCCAAATAAGATCACATTCTGAAGCAATAGGGGTTAAGGCTTTGACATTGGCATTTGGGGGAGAGGTACAATTCAGTATGAAACAGATTGACTAAGATTTTTGGCCTAAACAACTATAAACATGGAGCTGTTATTAACTGAGATAGAGAACGCTGAAGGTAGAGCAAAGAGTTATATTTTAGAGTAAGGATTTTTTTTAAGGTAAAAGAGTCGAATATTTGAGAGAGAAGTCTGAGTTGGAGATATATATCATATGTGTGTGTGCATACATGTACATATATTATTTCTCTCTATATATTAATTTCTCTATATATATATTCCTTAATACATATATATACTCCTATAAGCATATACATGTATATATGTGTTTATACATATATAAACATATTCCTTTATATATGTATGTATATGTATGTGTGTGTATATACACATATATATATAATTATTTGGTATATATATATACACATATATATATACTACACTGCTGGTAGGAAAGTAAACAGTCATTATTGTAGGTGATATTTAAAGCCAAGATCTAGGTGAGATCACCAAGGGAGTGGGTGTAAGCTGAGAAGAAACGTGGACTAAGAACTGAACCATGGGGCCCTCTATG